AGCCTCCACTTCCACTGCGACAATCATTTATTCTTTATTGTTTGTTTGTTTGTTTTCTTCATCTTTTTTTTATTATGATTTTACATCCTTTTTTTGTGATTTTTCTCAATCTCTCTATTCTTTGGATTTTGCAGATTGTGCACACGGTCATGCGCACAGCTGAAAACGATGCTATAGAGGATTAATGCATGATTTAATAATTTTACTATTTTTCACAGTTTATAAATTACATGTTTAAAACTTTTCTTGTGATTTTATCCTCATTTTCTCTAACCTTTGGATCTAAGACGGTGGATACAGTGATGCCATACTAGAAACGGTGCTAAAGAGGATTTGGTTGTGGTTATGCCAAACAACAAGGGTATTTGATTTCAATTTTTAAATTTTTTTTTAAGATTTTGCTATCTAGAAAGCATCTCCAAAAGGTTAGTTCAATTTCAAGTGTAATTATTCTAGAAAATCATTTACTAAATTCTTCATCAATTTGTTGTTTATGGTTGGGTTATTGTTGTGAGATGAACAATAAGAGCACACAACAATATTTTCACATTGATCTAATTGATTACTTTACCAGATTCGTTGGAAGTCCCACTTGAATAGTCTAAAGAGCAGTCCAAATGTTGCCACGATAATTGAGGTGATTTGTAATACTCTTGTATAATTGTTACTATTGAATTTTCGATTTTGTAAATATTTCTCTAACAGGATTATGAGGCTAGGAGCTATATCGATCAGAGTAGTGGTGAGCCTTCATTACTTTCCTAATGAAATGAATTGGAATTTTTTTTCCTTCAATATAATATATCTGTTCTTTCTATAAGAGTGTTTATGTAGACAATTTGATGAAGTTTTACAAATTACCTTTATCTGGAAGCAAAAGAGTGTACTCTCATCATCAGTGCATCATCGGAGCCATAAGAGTAAATGTAGGCACTGTTTACATAACTTGTCTAAATTAAAAATCTCTTCATTTTCCTCATATTGGACAAACATATGTTCAATGTGAAGTAATTTTAAATGTCTATTATCAAATGAATCAAATTTAATTAATCTTCCTAATTAAATACTAAATAGTAATAACCTTCTATTAATTAAATTTTCATAAAGTGTGTATAAAATTGTAGCAAAGTAATTAAATAAATAAAAAAGCCTACGTAATCCCTATTAAATAGGAAGAAAGATGCCCTTAACAAGAAAATAAAAAATTCGATTTTTTATAGAAAAAACCAATTTTTTAATATAAAATTGAAAAAATTAAAATCTTAAAAATTAAGTCAAAATTGAAAAATTGAACAAAATTAAAATGAATGAAATTGATTTGGTTGGATAAAAATTCAGTTTTCAATTCATCCTTTTTTATATAAAAATTCGTTTTATATATTTTGCATTGATTTGAATCATTTTAGTTATGTCCTCGTTCATATGATAACATATATAACATATATTGTGTCATACATTATGTTATATATGATATATATGTTATATTATATATCAAATTTAACGTGCCATACGAAATTCATTTTTTTTTTTTTTTTTTTTTATGGAAGGAGGCGGGGTGTGACAGTAAGGACGAAACCTAACGGAGACGTGTGAGAGACTATCATCCGAGAGAGAGGGATGTATCGATATGTAAATAGAAGTAAGAGTCACGATGCGTGTAGAGGTTGTGGGGGGGTAGATATACAAGAGCTAGTCGGGAAGCATAAGCACAATGGCGTCACAAACAAGACGAAGTATAAAGGATAATAGTCATCCGTAGAGACGTAGAGAGCAGATGACGTAGTAGAAGAGCGCTGAGTATAGTGGCGCTGGCCTGGAACGGGGCCGATCGGAGCGGTTCTTGGATCCAGCGTAAAACGGTGAGCAAAACATATATTTAGGATCGAGAGAAGGGACCCCAACTGACATATGTTAGCCAGTCTGATAGGACGTATTGCGCATATTTAAATCCTATAGAATTGTGTGCTGAGATAGTAGACTAACATGCAGACGTAGCGATGTAGACGATGAGAGTTAATTCACATCAAAAGTAGGAGCATGTAGAGAGCTCAGCCATTGAGATGATCTACGAGTAAAATACGAGCTACGATCAGAGCGCGGGTGGCAGAGTTAAGCTGATCGTCGACGGTTGAATTAGACGCACACGGGAGTGGCGGAACTGAAGAGAGATAAAAGTCATGTCAGGCTCGAAAAATTCGTCGAGAGAGACTTAAATAGGTGACAACCAAGCAATGTTTTTTAATATAGAAAATTAGAGAGGAGGAAATTAAAATCATTTTATTTGTGAATATCAAGGTACAAGAAATATAATGGAAAGAGATTGAACCAAAGATTGAACAATGAATGAAATTGATTTTGGTGTGGGATAACAAATTCAGTTTTCCAATTCATTTAGCCTTTTTTGTTATATAAAAATTGGCCGGGTGTTTATTATATTTTCGCGATTGAATTTGAAATCATGTTTAAGTTATGTCCTCGTTCATCATGAGTAACATATATCAACATATATTGTGTCATAGCGCAGTTATGTTATATATGAATATATGGTTATATTGATAACAAAATCTTTAACGGGTGCCATAACGAAGATTCTAATGTTTTTTTTTTTATTTTTTTATATTCAAACACAAATAATACAATAAATTATAAGGTTTTTAAATTGAATAAGACTTACGAAATTATCCTTAATGAATTTTTAATATAATTTTTAATTAAGCATAAAATAAAAAATTTAAATTAAATATAACGGACTGAGATATATGCTCTTAGTTGAGCATTTTCGTTTTAATCAATGCAAAGGTAAAATATCAAAGTGTTGTCTGTACTTAATAAAGAAGCATAATTTTCAAAGAGATTAATGTTTTATTACGCGAATAAATATCAAGTAGCAATTAAAAATATATTAAGTATTACATAGTAGAAACTAAATTATACCATAATAATGATTGTGAGAGTCACAATTAGGAGTATAAGATTAGATAGAAGCATTGTAATAAGCGTATTAACTGAATGGTACCCCGCATATTCGTGATTTTTTTACTATATTCGATAAATTTTATTATAATGATGGTTTGACTAATTGACTTGAACAATGAGATTGGAGTGAAAATAATTAAAGTTAAAACAAATTTTATGCTTAAAAATTGGATATATTGATCATTCCGTTTCGATTGGTTGTCTGTTTCAATTTTAATAATTTTTGATGGATACCTATTGATGTGCAGATTGGTAAATACAGTGTCAATGAAAAAGAATAACCTTATTTATTTTTTAGTAGTAGATTTTTTATGAAATTGGTATAGATTTATATCTATATATTGGCATGTAATGTTAATTTTTAAAAAAATATAAATGTATAAATATGGCATACAATTTTTATGCATTTTTATTAATTTTTTTATTTTATCAAGAATTAAATTATTAAAATTGGAATGTTGTATTTAGATTCTAATATAAAGTAATTTGATTTTATTTATTTCTTGATAATATAAAATAGTTTAAAGAAGTGGATTTAAGCATGTTTTCATTAAACTTTGAATAATTAGATGAAATATTCAGAAATTTGTTTCTCGATATGGCGAACAGGACATCAAGAAACTAATTTAGTAGTTCGGTATTAGGTATCTAATGAGTAGTGATTTTCTTTATTTTTTATATTTTAATTTGAAAGGAGAATTGAATAAGTGATCTTTAGAACTATTGAATTATAAACGAGTTATGCTTAGGAAGTTAAATTTTATTAAATGTATTATTTATAATCCACTTTATCTATTCCAAATATTTAATACCATTATAATTGCTTGTATACTTATAGTTTTTGAATTTATGCCAAATGAAATAAAATAAATCAATAAAAAAGGTGAAATATTAGAATTGCCCGAGGCGGAAAATAGAGGAAGATTTTTGAATTATGTAATTTGAAATATAATTTTTAATCTACTTCATCTATTTAATATTAGTGAAAAAAAAATAAAAATAAGAATAGAATCAGACTAAATCATGCGATTGAGCAAAATTGGGGTTGCAAGTCCTGCGGATTAAAGCCGAACGCAATGCTACGGCTTTTTATCCTGCATGCGTCCGCATTGGACCACACGAAACCCAATTGGTAATGCTCAATTGTAGAATAAGTTTCCCGCTAAGCATGAAAGAAGTTTTATTCATGGCAGATGATGTCACCAATGTGTTGATTATTTATATTCACTTTTGCTTTGAATTTTCTTTGTGTTTATCTCACCGGAATTACAATAATATGGAGAAATAGTCAAAGAATCCCACAAAATAGAATAGCTAAAAGATCCTCTGCTTTTTGAGTTGAACAAATAAAAGGTCCGATAAATTGCCGCGTTGCCGGGCAGAAATTCGTGATGGTAAAAAAAAAAAAAGAAAAAAAGAAAAATCTTATTAAATAGAATGCATTGGTAAATGCAGGAGTAAGAGGACTTAAACTAGCATATGACACATCAGCTCTATGGATAATGAAGATATGATTTCCCAATTTACATTCCCTTGATTAGTGATTTTTTTTTTTTTTTTTTTTATTTAAGGGGATTGAATAATGATCTTTAGACTATTATTTTAAGAGTTTATGCTTAGAATTAAATTTTATTAAATGTATTTATAATCCATTTATCTATCCAAAATTTAATACCATTTTAATTTGTATACTTATATGTTTTGAATTTATCCAAATGAAATAAAATAAACAATAAAAAAGGTGAAATATTAAATTCATGCGAAAATATAATTTTTAATATGTATTAAATATAATTTTTAATTACTTCATCTAGTTAAATTAGTAAAAAAAATAAAAATAAAATAAACCAAACTAATCATGATTGAACCAAATTGGTTCAATTCTCGATTAACCGAACCAATTGCTCGCTTTTTTCCTGCAGCTCCAATTGACCCACGAAACCCAATTGGTATGTCAAATTGTAGAATAAGTTTCCCGCTAAGATGAAGAAGTTTATTCATGGCAGATGAGTCACCAATTGTTGATTATTTATATTCACTTTCTTGAATTTTCTTTTTGTTTATTTCTCACCGGAATTAACAATAATATGGAGAATGTCAAAGATCCCACAAAATAAATAGCTGAAAAGATCCTCTGCTTTTTTGAAGTTTGAACACAATAAAAGTCCGAAAATTGCCGGCTATGGCCGGCAAATTCTGTGTCATCTTTTTTGTACAGTCTTTTTCTTTACTCTCTGAATCTTCACCATGTGTCTCACTGTCTTTCTCTCTGATATTGCCACTTTCCCTTATTTGCTCCTATGTAGTCTATCTTCAAGACCACACTAAAAGACACTATGGGCTGTGCACAAGCCAAGTATTCAACAAATTCACCATCAAAAGGTTTACAAAGACTAAAAATGGAAAATGGGTATGTGGGAAATGGAGGATTTGCGGCTCGTAGAAGGTCAACAGGGCAGAGGTACTCTGGTAGAGGTAAACTGAATAATTCTGAACCTCCACCGCCTAGGAACTACAATGGTGGAGGATTATTAGGTAGAGGTGACACCGGTGGCACTGGTGGAGACAGTAAATTAAGTTATGGAAATGGAGAAAAAGATTGCATTGATGTTGTTCGTAGAAATGACAAAGTTTTTGTTGTTGACGGAGTGCAAGTAGTAGATGGGTGGCCTAAATGGCTCACTGATAATGTTCCTGAAGAGGTTTTGGCAGGTTTAGTTCCAAAAAGTGCCGAAAATTATGACAAGATTGATAAGGTAAGTGCTTTGGAACTCTAGCATTAGAGTCTGTTTTCACATTGTTGTTTGAGCTGCCATTGTTGTTCAAGCTGCTATTGACAAAGGCTTCAAATTGAAATTGATTAGAGCTCGTTAAATTTTAGTTCTTAATTTCAAATCTGATAATAAAAGCTTTAAAACAGCTAATAACACTATCAATTTTTTTTTTTTTTTTTAAACATGTAAGATTGTGCTCTTCCTTCAAAAAAGTAGAATCAACCTCATAGTGCCAAGCTAGTTATTCATCGCAATAAGCTGTATATTTCTGTTGATCTATTAGGCCAGATCCTCTAAATAATTTCCTTTTTCTGTTATGTATATACACACGCAGATAGGCCAGGGTACTTACAGCAATGTGTATAAAGCTAGAGATAGAGACACTGGAAAAATTGTTGCCTTGAAAAAGGTCCGTTTTGACACATCAGAACCTGAAAGTGTGAAATTTATGGCACGAGAGATAATGATTTTACAGAAGTTAGATCATCCTAATGTGGTAAAGCTTGAAGGACTAGCCACATCAAGAATGCAGTTTAGTCTTTATCTTGTTTTCGATTTCATGTTGTCAGATTTAGCATCTATCATTACCCGCCCTGAAGGAAGGCTTACTGAACCACAGGTTGAATTTTCTCTCATTTGTTTGTTTTGCAGATAAGTGACTTTCTTGGCTTGTGGCTTGTCTGCTAATTTATCTTTTTCTTTCAATCCAGGTTAAGTGCTACATGCATCAACTGCTTTCAGGTCTGCAACACTGCCATGAAAGGGGAATTCTGCATAGAGACATTAAAGCGTCTAATTTATTAATCGATAAAAGTGGGACGCTAAAGATTGCTGATTTTGGGCTTGCAAATTATTATTCTCCTAAAAAGAAGCGTCCTTTAACGAGTCGAGTTGTGACACTTTGGTATAGAGCACCTGAGCTATTGCTGGGAGCAACAGACTATGGACCAGGTATCGATCTTTGGAGTGCTGGATGCCTCTTGGCAGAGATGTTTTCTGGCAGGCCAATCATGCCTGGAAGAACAGAGGTAATAATACCAATTTGGATAGACATTTTTTGAATGCTGACCTCCTGTACTCCAAGCAGGTACTTAAATGCTGAGCTACTAGCCAATGGTAATTTGGCTTAGGTACTGGTCAGCAATATAACACTATTGAAGCTAATCTCACATAACCTAGTTTTATGCATTCAGGTGGAGCAGCTACATAGGATTTTTAAGCTATGTGGAACGCCATCAGAAGAGTATTGGAAAAAGCTAAGGCTGTCAACTACATTCCGACCTCCAAAATCGTACAAACCTAGTCTTTTTGAAGCTTTTGCAGAGTTTCCTGAATCATGTTTAGGTCTATTAAGCACTCTTCTTGCTTTAGATCCTGCTTATCGAGGTTCTGCATCTTCAGCTCTGAAGAATGAAGTGAGTACTTCAGGAGACGATTGATTTCATTGTGATTTAGAATTCCTTTTTTCTGATTACACAGGCTGAACTCATTTTTTATGTTCTTGTTGCAGTTCTTTTACACAAACCCTTTGGCATGTGATCTATCAGGTCTACCTGTGATTTGGCGAGAGGAAGATGAAATAGCTCAAGTTAGTGAACAGAGAAAGTAAGTTTTCATGACAAATTAACAACTTTTAATATCTGAAAATGCATTCTCACATTCATTTTTTCTTCATCATCGGTTAGGTAGCCCTGTTGTGGAGTGACTGTTTTCTGATTATAATCATTTTTCTTATAGGCACAGAAAATCTAAAATGAAAAGAAGGTCTCGAACTTACCGTGAGCATCAAAGAAGGGATTTATTGGCCGAAGGACCTAAAGAAGATCCTAGACAGTCTAAAGAGGTACTAATTCCTCATCTTTGACTATCCCACATTCTTATTTATGTTGGCACTGTTAAGGTTTTGTTCAAATTACTGTAAAGATTTGTTGATAAAAACAATATATTCAAAATTTTAATCTACGGCATTATTTTTTCTTAAGTGATATTTAACATGTTCTAATCATAAGAACTCCACAACACCTTCAAACTACTTTTTCTAATAGGATTTAGAAAGGATGCATTTCCAAAGAGTAGGTTTTCAACCTCTATCAAATGGACTCAAAACATAAGAGTTCTATAGTCTTAATATTAAGTTTGTTGCGTCACAAGTAATATATGTTTTTTCAGGAGCCAGAAAATCTTACTAAGCCGAAAGTCCAAAACCAAGAGCCAAGTAGCAGTAGTACTAGCAGCAGCTCCTCTCGTTCGAAGCTGAATTACCGGGGCAGAAGCCCAACTTTGTCGCTTTACCCATCTGCATCTTCTAGGAAAATGATGTCTCCGAGCATCCAAGGCCTACCTCCATTACCTGCTTATAAAACTAGCAGCATCAAATATTATAATGACAGCTTCTATAAATTAAGCCAAGTGGGTAGATCTGCTTCCACAAGAGAATTTAGAAAACAAAATCAAAGGAAACATTTTGAACTCTATGCAACTGAGAACTAGGACATGCTAGATCAGATTAAGCTGCAGATCTTTCTTCGTTGTTGTAGTTGCAGTATATTCAGGTTTCTTTTCTTTTCTTTTTCCTTACATATATTTTCTACACATATATACAGATTATTGCATATTACACTAAGTTTCGTAATAATAAAAGATTGTGTTTTCTTTGCTCCGCAAATGGGAATAAAATTGTAAATGTGCATCAAATTGAAGAAAGTAGATTCTTATTTCAAGATTTGCGTTCTATCTTTCTTCCAGACTGAATCAAACGATTGGGTAAAGTTTGCATCTTTAAGCTTTATTTGCAGGCGGAATAGGTTTAGCTTGGTCTCCTCACTCTATTTTGAGAATATAAAGAACAAAGGGTCTCAGGTTTGAGCCTCTCAACCAATTATTATACTGTTGTTATCTCATAACACATGAATCCATTTTACTCCATTGAAGACAAGCTATTAGGATTTGACACGATCTTGTCAGTATTGGAAAAAGGCTTTTAGAGAAATAATTTTACAAGCTATTTCCAAAATGGTTTAGGACTTTTATTTTTAGAGTTATTCCTAATTGACTTGAGTTATAAGGTAGATTTAGAGGAAGCAGCTCTATGATTGTGAGCATTGTAGTGGAGATTATTTGGTTTTTACCCAGTGAAGAAAAAAGGCATTAGAGGAAGTACTTTCACCTGTTGATGTGATGGCTTTTGCCCAAGATTGACAATTGGGTTGAAAGTAGTCTAAGGAATCTAAATATTCGCTATATAAAATAAAATAGAGAATGAAATCTCAATTCCTATTCAATCGTTCGCTAGTATAAGTAAGCTGTTCTTATTTCCATTAAATTTCAATCTATATTTTATTCTGTGTATCGAATGTCGTTCAATTAATTGAAAAAAAAAAAAAAAAAATCATGATTCGTATTCTAGAAACGGAACTGGTTGAAACTGAAATCTTAAAAATTCAGGTATCAGGTGATTGTGTTGCTATACTTAACCCAATGGTACAAATAGGTTAGCAATACGAAAGGCAAACTTTTATTTTATTTTTAAAGTCTAAATGACTAAAAAAGGCCTGAATTTTGACTTTTTGCAATTTTAATCAATTCTGATAACTTTGAGTGAATTTATTTTTTCGTCCTGAAGTTTTATTAAAATAATTAAGTAGTCTTTATAGTTTAGTCAAATATCTAATGCATACCTGACATTTGATTTCTTCGTACTAAATAGTCTTTCTATCTAATTTTTTGAGTTTTGCGGTTAAATCATAAAAAAAGACTTTAATACCCTTGCTGTTACAAAAGGACACGGAAACCTTTTTGTTAACCCTGCTATCATCTTCTGCAACAACCTGTGAGTTGGGATGGAAGTGAGTTAGGGTATCCGATCTACTTCAATCTATTTAATAAAGGTATAAATAGTTATAAATGAGTTATAGACGGATATGGGTAGTTAAATTACTTCCCGGCAATAGATACGGATATTAAACTCTGAGTACTTGCTATCCATTGTCCGCTGTAATAAACGGTTTTAAATATGGATACTTACGGATATTCTATCCATTTATTAGTAAAAATACATTTTAAATAAGTTCGGATTTGAATAGTTTAAAAATGTACGAATACCCTACTCATTTAAAAAGTATTTTAAACTGGTTTAAATAGATACGGATAATGAAATTTTAAACGGATTCGAACAAGGGTACTCAAATGAGTATTTAAACAGATTTAGAATGGTACTGATACTAAAATCTTAAACGGATATAGTTACGGATAGTTCAAAATTCGCCGGTATTTCCTACTTCTATCCCTACCTATAAGCGTTCTAATATTGCAGGATTCTTTTTCTCCTACAGTCACGCCATTCCCAATGGAAGAATAGAACAGGTGGCTATCATGCGAGGGGTGCCATTTAAGGGCCATAAAACATACATGGGTGCTCATTTAGGAAGACAGGTCACGGAACAAGGTGTTAAAGGATACTGATTTTGGTGCGACTGTTTATATGGGTCTAGAACTTTGCATGTTGCTAATGAATGCTTTAGTTTCTCTCTGGAATTGGTTGATGATGAGGAGGCGGAGCAATTGTTTATGGCTTTTGGAGTTTTTGAGTAGCGTTGTTCTAAAGGGAGGCAAGCAGTAAGGAGGGCAAAGAGGACATTTGTGGCTGTGAATTTATCCATCTACAAAGTTGCTAATGTTACCGTTAGTGGGATCCACATTTTGATACATCAGCACCTCATCACCAGACCACGTCAGTAAAAAAGATATTATGGCGATTTAGCCTTTTCTAAATTAGATACAAATTACAAATTTCCTAAATTTAGTATGGCCGAAATCAAATATGAATTTTCATATGTTATAATTTTTTTAGCAGAAATTAAACTGGAAAATTAGAGAAAAATGTATACAGATACGAATAAAGATTAACATATTTCTATATTTTTATACATAAAATCTAATAATAAATTACCTATATAAAAAATAAAAAGACAGAATTTTAATTTGAAATATTCAATTGAGTTGACGAAGCATAATAGATGTGCTCATAAGCAATTGCTCGCTCCATCTAATGGCTCTGAATCCAGGCATGACCACGGTTTTAAAATCCCCAATTTCAGTCTTAAAACCCCTGGTTTTGGTTTCAAAAAAGGTGAAACCAGAACCGAACCGCTTTTAAACTGTTTTAAAACTGCTGGTTCCGATTCAGTTCTAGTTTGGAACAGAATTTAGATAATTTTTTTTAACTTTTAATTTTTTTAGCTAAATAAGAAACTTAATAACAAATATAGTATTAAATTAAAAAAAAGACAAAGAACAAATTAATAGTTTGAAAATTTATTAAAAAATATAACTACAAAAAACATAGATTTAAAATTCTTTATTAGTAAATTTAAATTGAGACATGTTAAAAGATAGACTTGTACTTAATTTATATTAGGAGAAAAGAAATGATAGGAGAAATTCTATGGAGTTTAGAGAAAAAGAATTGATATTGTCCAAAAAAGGGAAAATTATTAATGTATTTATAGTTAACACATAAATTTTTATTCATAAAAGTACTCTTCAAATTTTCCCTTTTTTACTTTTATGACGGATAAAAATGTCCTTTAATTTTATTTAACTGCTGTGTCCGATTCAGTTCTAGTTTTGAAAGCAGAAGTATTAGATAGAGTTGGATTTTTATAACTTTTAAATTTTTTTTAGCTAAATAAGTCACAAACTTAATAATCAAAGTATAGATATTAAATTAAGAAAAAGAGACAAAGAACAAATTAATATGTGGTTGGAAATGTATTTTAGTTAAGAAAGAGTATACTACAAAATGCATAGATTTAAAATTATCTTTATTAGTTAAAAGGGTTTGAATTGAGAGCATGAGAGAGATAGAGCGTTGTACTTAGAGTGTGGTAGGGAGTGTGGCGGGCGATGGGAGAGGAGGGGGAGAAGCTGGGAAGATTGTGAGGTGGGGAGAGAATTGTGCGTAGTGTGAGGTTTAGAGAAGAATATGATATATATTTAGCCAAAAAAGGGAGAAATTAATATGGTATTTATAGTTAACGACATAAATTTTTAATTCATAAAAGTATCCTTCATTTTCCCTTTTTTAACTATTTAATAGACGGATAAAAAGTCCCTGTGTAAATTTTTATTTAACAATTAAACAAAAAAATCAATAATATTAATTTTTTATTCCAAAATGATCAACCCTCAAGTAGCTGTTTTGTTAGTGTTATAAAGGACAAAACGTCTTGTTTCACTATCTAAATTAAGGAGTTAAAAAAATTTACCAAGTATAAATTTTTTTTATTCAAAAAATACTCTCAAATTGCCCGTTTTTTTACTGCATATGTGAAGGGAGACAAATGTCCTTTTTATTTTATCTTATGAAACTGCAAAAGTTAATAAATGCTTAAAATAAATATTGTTTAATTTATATGAATTACAATATAAATTTTTTATTCAAAAATACCTTCAAATTGCCGTTTTTTTACCATTGTAAGGGAGACAAATGTCTTTTTATTTTATTTAAGACTCAAAAGTTAATAAATCTTAAATAAATATTGTTTAATTTATATGTAAAAAATATATATTATAAAGGGTAAAAGATTTAAATGAGAAACAATTTTTTTTCTCTTTTCCAACTTATAATTTATAACTTATACTTATATTAATAAATTTTAAGGTGATGGTAAAGTTACTTTATTTAATGATAAAAAAATAAAATTAATTTAATAATTAAAAATTATGTGTGAAGTGTGATATTTTTTTTCTTTTTTTAACAGTTTTAAACCGTAAACCGTCGGCTTTTATTTTCAAATATAAGGAATCACAACCGAACCTTAAACCGCCAGTTTAGATTACTGTTTGAAACCTTAAATCATTGACCACGGTTCGATTTCAATTTTGATTGATTCGATTTTGATTTGGAATCAAACCATAATTATGCCTATATGAATGACTCTATTGATGACTATTTATAGCAACTATTTTAACTTCATGATCTTTTTGCAGATATGATATAATCACTTTTAAATTTTTTTCATTCTATAAAAAAAAGAGATATGCATATCTTTCTTCATGATTATCTTAATAATAAAATGCCATAAACAAATAACAAAATACCAGATATCATGATTGGGTTGGACAAGGAAAGGTAATTGCTATATATAAATTGTAGAAAGGTGTACTGAATTGCTTTTCCGTGTGTAAAGGCTTTTTACTTTATCATTTGTGGCATTGTCTAATCTAATGGCAATAATTTATAACTTGGTGCCCTTCAATGGCCCAATTTAGATTTTAGGTGTTTTGTTTGTTCGCAAATATGTTAACGTTGTACTATAAGATGATTAGCAAAACATCCTTCGCACTCTTTTTTTCCTTTTTTTTTTAATATTAAAAAGAGAATTCGAACATAAATATATTATCCAATTTAATAATATTATAATTTGAATTGATTTAATTATACAAATTTAATGTTAATAATATTATTCAGTTTGATTTTTTTAATATGATTTGAAGTTAGTTTTAGACTCCATGAAAGATTATATAATTAGATAATTTAATAATTTTAAAATTCGAATTAAAATAAAGTAAAATAAATTTAAACTATCAGAATGTTTTGAGAGTTAAACCAAATGAAATAATTATGAAATCAATACCTAATGGTAGAGTGAGGACCCCTCTAATCTTAATCTTTTATAGTTAGAAGAAGTGGAACCTTTTCATTCGTATTTTCTTTAAAGGGCAACCTTTCACTATCAAAAAGGGAAAGGACAACGGACATTAAGAGAGTAGGTAAGTGATTAATTATCAAGATTGATTAAAGAAAGTACTGTTTCTTTATATGACAATGATACTAACTAGTGGCGAGCAAACTTTGGAAAAAATAAAAAACCCAACCGAACTAAATTATTTTGTTTTTTGGTTCGATTATTTAGTTTTTGATTTTCAATTTGAGTTCGAAATTTTCTATAATTTCGATTTTCGGTCTTTAGATCGATTATTAAAATATTTATTTTCTGAATAAAAATTGAACTGTTTATTTGAATTAATACCTATTAAATTGAACGGACTAATTTGATTTAATTGCAAAGAAAATATAGCATTTAGTTGATGCGGTTCAGTTTGGTGAAACTGAATGACGGGTGGCCTCAATAGTGATATAAAAGTATGCCAATGACGGGTGGCCTCAATAGTGATATCTTAACGAACTAAGTCCTCTTGTTTAATCTGTGGTTCCTTCTCCCCTTGTATTTAATGTACTTGTTGGTTAAATATTTGGAGTATATACCATCACCAATGGTATATATATTAGGTAAGCTTTTAATTATATAAGGGTATTTAGGTCTCATTTGGTTAAAAATATCTCTCGAAAAATAGAATTGATAATATAAACTAAACCAAAACATTTTTTATATTTCTTGAAAAACTTCTCGAAAAATTAAATTTTCTTAATTTACTTATTCTCAACCAAATAATATTTTGATTACTTTAACAATTGGTTTTGGGGTTGAGAACTATTTGATAGTTTTTATTTTCTCAAAAATGGATGAATTATTATTTAATTATTTTGATTTAATAAAATTTATCTTAAAAGCTTTATTTTTATAGATCAATTAGATAGTCCATCTATTTTATTGTTATGTAATCAGACAGTCTTTTTTTTTTTTTTTTTTTTTTAAAGCTTTGTATTTTTTTAAGATCAATTAGATAGTCCCATCTATTTATGTTATGTAACATACAGTCTTTTTTTTTTTTTTTTTTTTTGTCCTTAAATAAAATTTTAAAGTTTCTTTAATATATTATGCCAATAATATTGAGTTTTTTTTTTGATTTTATCTTAAATATTAATTAATAATCTTAATTCAATATAGTAAAATATCATTAAAGATAACAGTCAAGTTATAGTGTTTAAGGACATGTAAATTATTAAGGTTAAAGGATTCGGGATAAACATTAATTTTCTTTTTCCGTAAGAGCAAAATCAAGGAAAAAATTGTTGTAATTTAATTTTTTTTAGTATGTACTAATTAAATAATCAACAAAATCTAATATAGTATGATTTAATTTAGTGTGAGTAAGTGCAATAAAATGAATAGCCTAACCCCTTAATGTCATTATTCTTCCAATTGAGAATAAAATTTATAGATAAATAATGTTTTAGTCAGTAAAAGAAATTTATTTAAATTAAAAAAGTAATTTTATTATAATTTTGTTTTTTTTTTTTTTTTTTTTTTGTCCTTAATAAAATTTTAAGTTTCTTTATATATTATAGCCATTAATATTGAGTTTTTTTTATTTTATCTTAAAAATTAATTAATAATCTTAATTCAATATATAAAAAATCATTAAAATAACAAGTCATTTATATGTTTAAATTAAATTATTAGGTAAAATTCGGGATAAAACATTATTTCTTTCCGTAAGAGCAAAATCAGAAAAATTGTTGTATTTAATTTTTTTTAGTTGACTAATTAAATAATCAACAAAATCTTAATATAATGATTATTTAGTTGAAAGGCAATAAAATGATAGCCTAACCCCTTAATCATTATCTCCAATTGAAATAATTTAAATAAAAATTTTAGTCAGTAAAAGATAATTTATTTAAATTAAAAAGTATTTTATTATAATTTGATTAATTTAATTTTTTTACGACTGAATAAAAATATTAATAAAAAGATTTAAGCAAATCATTCAAGAACTTCGACGGAAGTAATTAATAGTTGAATAAATTACCCTTTCACTCTAGTAATTAATTAAGAGAGATACGTTTAGAATAGATATCTAATATTCATTTTGTTTTCAAATGTTGTCACATTTTGGTATTTCATATCTTTTAAGAAGATGATTCGATTTTTTTAAGTTATACAGACTCCGTTCCATAATACTTGTCACATTTCAGAAAATAGTTATCTAGTAAAGATTAAATCCAAGAGCTCTTTTCACATGTCCGGCCTGCATTGCTAAATGAGCACGCGTGGAATGGATAAAGTATTTAAATTAAATAATTGGCTTATTTGTTTAGAATAAATAATTGGCTTATTAATTCACTTGGAATTTGCACAACTTCTTCTACATCCATGAAAAAACAAATCACAGCTTTTTTTTTTCATTATTCCATCTTTGGATGGACGAATATATAATTTAACTCCTGATATTTAAGGAAAAAAAGAATTATGATATTTTAAATTTTAAAATCAATGTACTCTGAATTTCACTTTAGTAATAATCTCACACTTCTTTACGTTAAAAATAATAATTTTTAAGGTTTTTGTCATTTGTAAACAACATATTAATTTGACACGTGGTTAATATAACTTCTGAAATAATAATTTTTATATTTTTAACTATATAATAAGTGTTTAATCTATTTAATTTTATAATTAAGTGGAAGTGTTCAACAGAGTAAACACAAAAGTTTGGGGTGGCCATAAAATTTTTCCGTGAAAAATATATGGACAGTGAATTTATGTATTGAGGTTCTTTTTATATTTTTTTAGATATTGAAACGGGAAATTATAGTTGTTGAGATTCCAACCATCATGAATTTTATTTTCACCATACTAAGGCGTTGATTTAGATATCATTTAATCAAATGGGGCAAAGCATCTCCATTTCTGTCTTTATTATCACACAATTTACAAGATCCAAATTTTGAGAAAGAAAGCAAATTTAAAGAAAATTGAAATTGCATGATTCTGTAGCTTTGATGGATTATACATATATACCCTTTGATTTATTTAATTCTTGCTCGAATTAAATAATGAAAAATTATAATATATGTGGTTCTTTCAAAAGAAAGATTAATAATTAAAATTCATAAATTAATTATTTTTTTAGAAAATGGATTTGATTACTATTATTAATTAAAATATTTTCTGAAATATTAAATGGGATGGAAAGGAACAAATATAAAACTAACTAGGAAAATTATATAAGTACAATTAATGAAGGCAAAAAGAGATAAATTAAAGAAGACAAAATTGAAAAGAAAAAATCATATCATCTTTTCTTTTCTGCATCCAAGAGACATACATGCAAATCACTCAACTTGCATGATGCATGCATAGCATGCATGATCCATAACAGAAAGATCACAAAATTAAAACAAAAAGAAAAGAAAAGAAAATCCCCAATTTCTCCTCTCTGAGAGAAAAACAAAATTCTCTCTCTTTGATCTCCAAAGCACAAAAACCATAAATATGTACTCCATATTATATATATGTATAATATTAACTTAATCACATACCATAACGAACATCAGTATTAAATTTGTTCTTGATCCACTTGAAGCTGCTCCTTACACTGGATTTGAGCTTCCCTTCCACTGTAAACACGTTATAAGAAGCTATCCTCTTCTTTCTTTTTAGCTCCGGATCGTTGGATGATGCAAACCCATTTCCTTTATGGTACGGCCCGTTGAAGCTATATGAATTCGACCCGAACTCGCCGGAGAAAGATGATGAGTATTCTGGGTACGACTTGCTCTTCTCCATTTCTGAATTTGATCGCTAAAATAAAGCTTAATGAGTTGAAAACTTCTTGTTTGTTGCTTACCTAATTGACAAGTTTTTATTGCTCTATTTATAATATGGATACGTATATATACTCTATCGGAACATTGGAAATGTTATGTTCACATGCACGTCAATATAATTAGATTAGACAATTAATGGATGGTGCTCATTTTTTGGCACCATACATTTTTTTTTTTTTTTGAATCAAACCGGTGTTATCGGCTTGTTAATTGATTTTTCGGTTTGATTATTTAATTGAATTACATGTCTTAAAGTAAGTTATTATTAATTTTTATAACTAAAAAAAATTAAATGTAAAATGCAAAAAAAGAAGGATCAACTATTTTTATTGTTACATCAGAATTTGATTTAGACTCTGTTTAGTTTAATAATTTCAATTAGTTGTTGTTAACTAATGAATAATTAATTAATAAACTATTTTTTACTTTCAATACTTCTTTTATTAAAATATTATTTAATTATTGTATTTTTTTGGACGCTTATCTAAAGGAATTCTGATTGGGGTAGAGCATAGTTCCGAAAATTGAATTACTAAATTGAATCGCCTCTATTCGATTTAATTCGGTTTAATACTTTAGATAATCGGTTTTATTTTTTATTTTAATAGAGGAAATCAAAATCATTTTGGTTCAATTTGATTTTTATTAAACTAAAATAAAGCATTACACACCGAGATATAGTCTGGTGGTAAGTGTATATACGATTTGACAATAGATCCAATTCGAATTCTTTTCCAATACTCAAAAAAAAAAACCTTTGCTAAGAATAGATAAAATCGAACAAATCAATTAAATTTAATTCAGTTTTAATACTATTCGGCTTATATCTAAAATTTTTTTGTTCAATTTTATATTTGCTGGATGTCATTTAAACTGAATGGACGGATTGCATACTCCTACTGATTTTGGAGCGAACCGGTGGATCTGGTTTAGAGAAGGGGGTTAAGGCATGATCCAGTGTGGTGGCAGACCACGTGGAGATGTTGGGAGGATTCAATTGCTATAATTAGTGTGTGTTAGAGGGGGAATCATGAGAACCAGTGGAGGTGGCGGGTGGGGCCTATTTGTACAAAGATGCCATCATCTGTGAGGGCAGAAAAGAGTTCACGCGGTGATGAGGGCCACCAATCCACCAAATGGATGGGCCCAGATGATAATGTTTAGGCTTTTAAAGTTTAATAAAGAAAAGAAGATAAGCAAAGGAGAATAGAAAGGAAAAAGAAGAGTCCATGTTTCATGGAAGGCAAGGAAGGGCGGAATAGGTAAATTTATCTTTGAATTTTATCACATTAAATTTATGGTATTTTAATTTTTATTTTGATTCATTAAATATTTTAATTTATAAAACTATATATATAAGTATTTTAATTATTAAAATTATTTTATTTATTATTTTATTAAACACTTCAATTTATAAAATTATACTAATTAAATACTCATTAAAAGTTGAAATTTATGAAAACTATTCTATTTTAAAAGTTTTATTAACTATGAACTAAGTCTATATTTTATAGATAAAAATTAAAAGTTATAAAATTATTAATATTAACGCCGAAAGATGTGTGATATTATCAAAATCTATAAATTCAAATGCACGATAAATCATTTTTAAAAATTTCAAATATTAAAAGGTTAAAGTTATAAATTTCACCAGTGAATTTATATATTAAGAAAAAAGAAGATATGATTACCAAAATCAAGCAACAGTGGTTAGTCAATTTTTAATGCATGGTACAGTCAATGGGCAATATCCCATTTTTCCTTTATAAAAGCAAACACTAATGTTTTGTGGTGTTAGTGCTTTGTGGGCCTTTGGTGTCTTTATGGGGCTTTCCACTCCTTAATAATCTTTTGTGCATTAATGTTGGGTAATATTCTAGTATGACCACAATCATGGTAAGATCACAAGTTATTGAACTAGAAATTTAGGTTTGAATATAATTAATTTTGACATATATAATAAATTTGAAAATTAGATCATTTTGTTCATGAATAAAATAGGAAAGAATAAATAGAATAGCTAGTTAATCATGAGTGGTCTGCTTGGTATTTTTATATCTTGTAAAAATGTGGGAAATTAGACGACTTGAACTCGAGTTTTTTCTACGTTATTACCAATTTGATGAATGTTATTTAAATAAGAAGACTGATAAATATAATAGCTATTCTGAATAATGAAATACATATTTTTAAGCTTATTTTAGGAAATTAATGTTTCATAAATTTAAAAAAAATTTAAAAATATTAAATTTTTACATATAAAAATTCAATTAAAATTTAATTACAAATTTTTTATACTATAAATTATTGTTTCACATCCAAATTTAACTAAAGTTATGAATTAATAGTTCACATAAAAATAACTATTCTATTTCCTCTGTAGTTCACACTATTTCCTGTACCAAGCAAAACCTTAGTACTTAATCTCACATGATACATAAAAATACCACCATACATTATGTTTTTATATTTTATGTGGAAGCATAATTTTATTTCTCAAACATGTCATAAATTAACTTTTAGACTTTTTGTTTTTTTGATGAAAAATGATTTTTAGGTTTACTTATGATTGTTATTATAATTATTTTACAAAAAATAAAAAAATAAAACTAGCTATTTTTAAAAAAAATTCGATCATATTAATTAAAATGATAATAAATGAAACTTTTTAAAACTAAAGTGACAGAGAAAAAAAAATTTTTTTTTCCTTCAATGAGGTAAAAAATAGAATATATATTTTGAAGATTTCTCTAAAATAAATTATTTCCATCAAAATGTTTATGATATGATTGAGGTGTCAATAATTATGACTCTGGCTTTTATGTCCTAAAAAGAAAAAAAAAAAATGAATAGTCTCACAAAAGGCCAATGAAATAATTTTCATTATCTTCAATACAAATATGATAGAACCAAAGTACCATCTTTAGGTAGACTAAAAAAACAAGACACACGCACGCTCTCTTTTATTCATTACGGGCCCAACCAATAGCGGATTTTGAAAATCTTTTTATTCGATCAATATAAATTTTTTTAAAAAAAGAGGGATCAAAGTCGCACATAAATTAAATTTTATAAATTAATTTAGACAAATATACATATATATTTGAAAAATATCCAAAAGAAAAGGTAAGTCAATTGACTCCTATTTTTATAGGGTGGATTCGCGGTAGGGTCCAACGGATTGCAAGAATTTTATGGGCTACGTAACAGTTGGGAATAACTTTTTTACTCATTAAATTAGTAAAAACTCTTACGGCCGAGAGACTTTTCGTTTTCTAAATAAGTGAGAATACCACGCATACCACATCCAGTGACTCGCTATCTCCGTTTGAGTTTATATTATTAATTTTTTGACATACAAGAAGATGGTACGGTATACTTCAAAAAATGAAGATGGTATGATATCCTAAAACATGATAGGTAAACATTGTATAATAAAATCATTGTAAGAGGTATAATTTCATCATCTAAATTTGGATAATTTTGGGTTAAACAAAGACTCGAGTAGGCGGTACATTGAGCTTGAGCGGACACATTTAAATCAAATTGAGAGTTGTTACCTCTGCATATATTAAAATATGTAATCGGGCAAATGATGCTTATATATCAATTTATTTATAAAATATAATTTATTTTATAAAAAACAATATCCTACAATTTCTGAAAAGGTCAACAAAGTAATTGAAAAGGCAGCAGCATATTTTGCAAAGGCTAATTCTCCAGTCCATGTCTCATGTTATGGGTAGTGAGAAGGATTTGGAATGGTACGTTATACTTATCCCTTAAATTGGTATAATGTACACGAAAAGTAGTAAACATGGGCCATTAGAAATCCAACTCCATTACTTATGTCCAAAAGATAAACATTTTTCAAGCAAAAGATGATACAAATAGAACCAAATTCACACCTGTTGTAAAAGAGATGGTTCTATTTGTTGGTTACTTAGCAAACACCATTATGACATTTGTGGCATGAGAAGCATTCTTTCCCATGCCTAGACAAATTGGCATGCATTTTGAAAAGAATCCCTCGATTATGACTTTAACGGTTCTCTAGGAATTTAATTATACACTTCACTTTCTAATTAACTCATTCATTGTTATGATTACTATAATAGTTGCATGCAAAAATATAATCATGTACCTTATAGTTGTTTTGTACCAAATAACAAGCTTGTGGTGTTTGGTGAACCTTTTTAATTAGCAACTGACAACTCATAGGAGTTTCAATCAGTTGTGATTCCTTCAGCTACCTTTGCAGCTTTTTGTATCAGTTGTTAGCTCATTTATATTTATGTCATTTTGGACTTTATTAACCTTATAAAAATGATTGCTAACAATTAATATTTTTTATTGATAGTTATTTAAAACTACAACTTTGTCTTAAGTATTAATTTAAAATTTTAATTAATATTTTATTAATATAATACATTAAAATAAAAAATAATATATTCACCTTAAATTAAAAAATATATATATACATTAATATCATAATATATAAAAACAATTATGTCTTTAATGGTCATTTTATATTTTAACAGCAACCGCTACCAAAATTTTACTAAACATAAACAGTAATTAGTTTATCGCTATCAGCTGGTATGAATTATTGAACCAAACATGGCTTTAGCAGTCAAAGGAGTAGAATTTTATTTTCTTAGAGTATATTTCTTTGAGCTTATTAGACACCTTCCTTATTAATTCAGATAAACAAAAAGTTTGTTTATTTTTTTTTTTATCTTTTTAGATAATTAGCTTATTGAATATGAAGGCAAAAAATTAGCTTATTTAAATCTAAGTTTTCTTAGCTTATGCAGTAAGCTATATAGTTTTTTTTTTTTTTTTGACAAGAAGACAAAAATATAAGGATTTTGATAAAAATAATGCTCTTGTAAAAACTATTTACAAGTATAGTGCCAAATGAAACTATTTAAAAATTTAATGTTTGTTATACCATGAAGAGAGAATGTTGCACTAAAATCACTAATTCAATTGGTGGTCTCAGTGCCATACAAAAACTTACCCGTACTGACAATTAGTTAGCAAAAA